TAGTTCATATGCTAGCTGTTATTACTGTTTTTCTTTTACATTTTTATTGTTGGATGTAACTGGGACACTGAGTACATAATTTTGCCCCACCACATGTTCCACATGAGGTGCGAATGACAAAAAAGAATCTCTGACTCTGAGATATACATACATACACACACTATATACATAGGGAAAAGGACACAATATATGATTTTATAAATGTTTATTGTAAAATATGTTTAATGACCAGATGGAGAAGCTCAAACCTATAAAAAAAGAATTAAATTAACCAGACTAGACCAAATAAATTACCAAGTAGACCAAGCCAAAACCAAACCAAACTAAACTCAGACAATAGATCAACAGAACCAAGACAAATCATAACCCCAGGAAGACCAGCAACAAGGAGAGAATAGAATAGAATAGAATAGAATAGAAACAGCCTTTATTGTCCCACGGATGGGAAATTCCAGTGTATCAGCAGCAACAGATAAAAAGATAAAAAGATTAAAGATTTCACAAAAAAGTTCCTAAAATGTTAATAAACAATACAATATATAAGAAATAAGATCAACAATATCAATAATAATGTTCAATATGTATTGGAACATTGATAAGGACAGAGTATCGACAGCACAGTATTACAGGCTGAGTGTGTGTTTGAGCAGAGGTCAACATGTATTTAATCCTTATTGAGTTTGTTGGGAGCAGTGATGGTTGTAGAGTCTAACAGCTGCTGGGAGGAAGGACCTGCAGTAACGCTCCTTTGTGCATTTAGGATGCAGGAATCTGTCTCTGAGAGGACAGGTCTAATGTCCTCCTCCTTGAGCAACACAACACCTCTCTCTTTATACTGGGCTGAGCCAGCAACTCAGGTGTTCCCAGTAATTACCTGCTGCACTCTGCTCAACAGAGCCGTCCCTGCAGCAGCTCAGCCACCTGACAGGGTCGTCACACTAGAAATGAATACTAAAATAAACTATACTTACTATTTGTACTACTATTCATATGTCATGTTTTTTCACTTATCGCAGGTCTTCAGGGTATGGCTCTCCCGTGATAAACGAGGGACTACTGTATTAGTACATTAAACAATATCAAGAAATCAAGCAGGATCAAACAGATGAAATGTAACAATGAAAATACTAAAGAGCTTTGGAAGAGAGTTCAAAAAAACGTTCAACACAAAAACAACTGGACTTTATTTGTAACAGAAGACGTTTCGCTCCTCATCCGAGGAGCTTTTTTGAATTTATCATGTCCTGGATGAGTGAGAATCTTCACCAGCACTTTGGAAGAGAGGGTAGTGTAAGTTTGCTTCTAGCTGCAAGTTCTGCAAAGATCATCTTTCTGTAAAGATGGAGCTAAACTCAGCTTCCTAAGTGAACTGAGGCTGGGAGAGAGGTTTCTCCTAAAATGACAAAGAAGCCTATTGAACTGGTGAAAAACTATGGCTACAAAATGTACCATAATTGTCAGTGCAGCTACTTTTGTCTCGCACTTTGTACCCTGCGGTTTATATGCCACAGCATCTTATTTATGTATTTTTTCACATTATTCAAAGTTTTTTGTTTTTTGTTTTGTTTTGAAAGACTTCTTGTTGTTTCATGGCAGCTTCCTGCCACTGTCTATAATTTACTTTTGACAAGGATGGGTGCTCTTTGCTCCCAGCACCCCGCCCCTCTCGGGGGCAGGCTTTAACAACACAAGGAGAACGCCTACAGGTAATCAGATGTGCTACGATTCTAGGTCATGGTTTCACAATTCACTACCATAACTCCACCTACTCTGTCATCATGTGACCAGAAGTGTAACCTTAATGACCAATGAGATGCTGTCATTGACCCATCCTCCAAGATACACGTGCATTAATGAGGCTTCCTGTTTACAGTAAGCAAAGATTAAAAAAAAAGGTGCCAAGTTCTTCAGATCAGTTACTGTATTTTACGCCTCGTGCACAGCACAGACTTTGGCTGGACTGCTGCGGGACGATGCAGACAGCACGAGGGAATGATGTCGAGAGACAAGGAGCCAGCTGTGTGACAACGTCTTTTTGAGCCTCTTCAATTCTGACACTGAAGAAGAGGATTTCCATTGATTCAGTGCACAGAGGACGAAGAACAGAGCCATGAGTGACTCTGGTCGACCATCGGTGCTTTTTTTTTTTAGATTCTTTATTTTTGAAGTATTGAGAAGATTACAATATCACAATTTCAGTTTATGATCAAATACAGAATTCCTTCACTTTACATTTTCATTTACAAAAACAAGAACAAAACAAAAAGATGGAACAAGGGGGTATTATTTTGGAAAACAAAAAAAACAAACAAAAACAAAAAAAAAACCTTTACTTTTACGTATATAACAGTAAGTAAATTACATACCAAGTAGACACTCTGAAGAATTAACCCTCTCTTTTGCAATTCTCAACATTCTAGTATTTTTGCATATTGTGTTTTGTTGACATAGGACACCCATTTGGACCACAAGACGGTAAACTTGTTCAGTTGAAACCGAGTTAAAAAGGTTAATCTTTCCGTCTGATAGATTTCGTTCACACACTCTATCCATTTTTCCACAGTGGGAGGCTCAGGCTGGAGCCAGCGTCTGCTGATGGTTTTCTTACAGGCTGTAATTAGTATTTGAAACAGATATCTTGCTTTGTCAGGTAAGGGTTCTGTGTCACCTAGAATAAAGATAGTGAATTTAAAAGGTATTCTTATATTCAAGATATTTTCAATATTTTTGTGTATTTCTATCCAATAATGTCTAATAATTGTACAGTCCCAGAATACATGCCAGTGGTTGGGTTCTGTGTTAACACATTGCCTCCAGCACTTAGGCTCCCCCGCGGTACAAGAAATTTTCTGTTTTGGTGTAATAAAAAAATCTAAGCAGACATTTCCAGTTAAATTCTCTCCATGAGTACGAATTGGTACATCTCCAAACTGTCTCGCAGTAACCATGCCAGTCTTCTTCTGTGATTTCCATTTTACTTTCCTTTTCCCATTTTGTTTTCACATACAAAGTTGAATCCGTTTTTTTACTCATAAGTCCCTTGTATAATCGTGACATAATTCCTTTTTTAGATTTTGCCTGATGTGCCGTTAGTATTTCTTTAAGCACTGGCTCCTGCTCATCTGTATGCCTAATAATTTCCTGATTAAGATAGTGACGTACTTGTAGGTATCTATAAAAATCCTGTCTTCCCAAGTTATAAGTTGTTTTAAGTGTTTGAAAGTCTTTAATTTGTCTTTCATCCATTAATGAGAAGTGTGTTGTTATGCCTTTAGATATCCAGCTACTGAATCCGGTATCTGACCATCGGTGCTTTTTTATTTTTATCCATGTTAAAGCTTCCTGATGCATGCTCAATAATCCAGGTAGAAAAATCTAAAAAAGTTAAATCTGGTCCTCTGGACATTCAAAAAAACAAAACAAAGCAAATCAACAAAAAAATGTAGAAACGTTTCGTCTCTCATCCGAGAGACTTCCTCAGTCTGAGGAGCTGTATTCAGCTCAGTCTCTTAAATAGCACCTTCTCAGGGTGGATCAACCAGTTTGCTGCTGACAACCAAAACCAGCTGATCACATGCTCAAGAAGGACCATCAGCCTAACAATGGATCATTAGCACACTGATGGCTGTTTACTGTTCACAGAGGGCTGAGTGATACTAGCAATCACAGCATTGTAAGAGGGGGGCAATTGAACACGTAGGCCTCCACCCCTGTTTAATGATGGACGGTTTCTTTTCACAAAGATGGCCTCCTTTAATCCTCTCTCAAACCATCGTTCCTCTCTGTCCAGGATGTGAACATCTTCATCCATGAAAGAGTGACCGCTGGCCTGGAGATGAGTGTAGACCGCAGAGTCCTGGCCTGATGATGTTGATCTTCTGTGCTGGGCCATCCTTTTGGCCAGTGGCTGTTTAGTTTCCTCGATGTAAGACTGATCACAGCCCTCCAGACACTGAACCGCATACACAACATTGCTCTGTTTGTGCCGGGGGACTGGATCTTTGGG